GGGGGGGGGGGGGGGGGGGGGGGGGGGGGGGGGGGGGGGGGGGGGGGGGGGGGGGGGGGGGGGGGGGGGGGGGGGGGGGGGGGGGGGGGGGGGGGGCGCGCGCGGACGATTTGTGTGCTGGCGCTTGTGGTGACGGCGATGCTGTTGTACTTGGGATGTGTGTGCTCGCTGGAGGCGACGGTGCGCGTTACGGGTCTGAAATACCCTGTCTGTCGGGTCTTAAAATCGAGCTGGTTTCAGAGACGGCGGCCTGGCACGCGCAGTTGAAAGCTTGTTCTACAGAAAAGCAAGGAGGCACACAAGATGATCACAAACCGCCTGTTCCGTCAGTATCCTGCTGGTGCTGCTGCTGCTGCTGCTGCCGTCGCTTCCTGACGAGACACAATGGAACATGTGTACAGCAAAGATAACGCGCCAGCGGCTGAGTCGGTCACGAGATTACTGGCTCTATCTGCTGCCTTGGGCATGCATGCGCGGCGGAAACCTTTGTCTCTCAACGACCAGACACATTCGTGCAGAGGTCGACATGCTCCGCCCCCCCGGACGCCCCGGCGCGATGCAAGTCGGATTTTGTGAACAACATAACGACACATGCACACATGACAAGATCATCACTATGCTTTCGCGGGGTACGATACACGCATGATCTTAAGCTACTTGTTTGTTTCGGCCGAGCCAGAGACTCCCTCATCTCGCGGGGAAACAAACTAACGTGCCTCCCAGAACACAAAAAATCCCTTCATTCTCGCCGTCGGTTGTCTCCCTCAAGATGCCTCCGCACGCCTCGCTTACTGGGCCCGTGTTAGCGTTGTTGCGGCAAGACACCTACACCATGGGATGCTTTTTTTGTTCCTCCTGTGCCTCGTTTTGACGTCTTGATACACAAATGTCGGGCACAACAACATCAGGCACCTCGTCAGAGTGAAAAGGAAGAACAACGCTAGCAGGCTGGTTAATCGTACAACGCGCAGCAAAAGTTGGGGTATGATGTACAGGGCCACAAACAATCGACAGTCTACATCTACAACAAAAGGTACCAGATCCCTGCGGGCCATCAGCCCCAAGCATGTCATGACGACATCACATGGCGACCCATTGCTAAGCAGCGTCGCGCGCCGGTCCAGTCCGGCCATCCTAGGCGACAGTAGCATTTCGTACCACTCCCGACCCCCCCAAAAAAACGCACGCGTAGCTACATCGTGCCAGCGGCGGCTGCGGCGGGCGGCAGAGCAAACCAGGAGCACCGCAAATCCCAATAGAGACAGCCAGCCAACAGACTGTAATATGCATAGCTGGACCGGTGACCTCGACGGCGTTCGCTTTGGCTACACGGCGTCGTACAAGAAACAGCAGCAACACAGCGAGCACTCCACGAGGAGATAAAACAATCCCTGCCCCGTATTTTTGGTGCCACCGCCGTAGCTCGTTAGGCATCTTTCTGAAAGCTTGAACAAGCCGCCGTCAATTTGTGTCCACACCGTTGTCTCACTGCGGCGGCTGAGGCTGCTGCAGAGGCCACAGCGTCGGCTACAGACAAAAGGCTCGGCAGGCCTTGATCCTAGGCGCCAGCGCACCGTCCAATCGCCGCACGATCGCCCTGCTAGTGCCACCTGCTCCTCCTCTCGTCGCCGCCGACCGAAGCGCGGCCGAAAGTTTCTCGGCATCGTCCAGGAGCTCCGGCAGCGGCATGTCAATCTCCTCAACAACGGCATCCTGCCCTCCATCTCCTCCTCCTCCTGAACCCTCCCGGGGCACCGCTGGCGGGGGCGCGCTGTGCGGCCACCCTCGACCCCCTCCCCCGCCGCGGGACTCCCACGCCCCCAGGCTCACCAGGAGCCGCTCGAGGTCAGACTCGCGGGGCCCCAGGTCCGCCAACCCGCCGCCGCCGCCGCAGACGTCGTCGTCGTCGCTGCCGCCCGCGACAGACGCCACCACCGCCCCGAGGCTCGTCGACACGGCGAGAACCACCGCCTCCGCGAAGCACTCCACCGCTCGCCGCTCTATCGCCGCCGCCGGCGGCGATTCTACCCCGGCACGGACGGCGTCTACCGCTCCCCTCCCCGGTGCCATTGCGCCAGCGGCCTCTCCTTGCCCGTGCTGCTGCTGCTGCTGTTGCACCGCGGCCGCTGCCGCTGCTGCTGCCGCTGCTTCCGTGGTGGTGGTGATGGTGGCTGCCGTTGCGGGGAGGGTGTGGTCGAGGCCGGCGACGGCGAGCGCGGCGGCGACGGCGAGGATCTCGCGAGTCAAGCGCCGCGCCAGCCCCTTCTCCCCCAGGAAAGCCTCCCCGAGGAGCGCGTACACCGGCCGGATCAGCACCAGGACGTCCTTCTTGACGCTAAGCGGCGGCCGCCCCAGCGGTGGTTGTTGCCGTGAGACCGGCGACGGCCATGGAGGTCCGGCGGCGGCGCCAGGGTGGTGGCCAGCAGCACCATCACCGCCGTCAGCGTCAGCGTCACCACCGTCGCCGTCGTCGTCGTCGCCCAATCGGCGGCGACCAAGCACGCCCGTCAAGAGCGCCAGGAGCCGGCCGGTCTTGCGAACGGAAAGGGCCATCTTCTGCTGCTGCTGCAGCTGCTGCCGCACACGCTGGAGCTCCGTCCCCACCACCACATCGCCACCTCCGCCGCCGCCGTACTGCAGCGGCGGCGGCGGCGGCGGCGGTGCCCTGCCACCGGCAACGGCGGCCTCCAACAAGAACCGCGCGACGCGGAGTTTCCGGTCGCCGAGCATCTCCTGCCTCAGGCCCTCCCGGAGCCTCGACCGTACGGCGGGGTCCCGGCCCGGCAGCGGCGCCAGCGCGGCGGCGGTGGCCAATTCGCCGAAAGCGTCGTCACCTTCGCCCCTGCCCCCGCCACCCGCTCCCGTAGTTACCGCACGCCCACGCCGTGGGCAGCACGGGTACGCGAGGTCCCCGCGCAAGCCCGACGCCAGCGAGGCCAGGAGGGGGGTAAAAGATAGGTTGGCGGCGCTAGCGTTAGGGTTGGCGTGAGGGTCGTCCGACGGCGGCGTTTGATCGCCGCCGTGAATGGCCTGGTCGTTGATGTTCTTGATCCATCCGGTCACCGGGGGCATGGTCAGAGTCGTCTGGATTGCGTGGAGATACGGAGATCATGGGGAGAGGAGGTACGGGGCTTAACTTGTGGGGGAAGGGGAGCGCGTACGGGTCGCAGTTGTGAAGCAAATAATGGGAAATAAGCGCCGTCGAAAAGGGGTGGGTGTGATCGAGACTCGCTGTTCTCAACAGCGGCCACAACACAAAAAAAACGCTACTTGTACAAATCTCACGAGACTCCCTCCCAGTGCATCCATCCATGCCCTTCAAAGGCAGACTAAACTCAAAAAAAGATCGACTTTCCCGAGCAACAAAAAACAACAACAAAGGGTGCAAGGACGAGGAGCGGACGCAACACACACACACACTTACTTCCGACAAGCACTGCAGCAGGTCTGGAAGATGCGTCACCGCGAGCGCCCTAAGCTCCGCGTGAGGCACGCTCTCCCTTCCTCCTCCTCCTCCTCCCGCACCATCCCCACCGCCACCGCTGCCGCCGCCGCCACCGCCTACGGCTCCGCCGGGACCGCGGCAGGCGATACCCTCGAACATGGCCTCCACCAGCTCGCAGAGCGGGGCCCCCTTGAGCACGCGGCCGCCGCACATGCGCATGAGGAAGGCCGAGAGCGAGTACGCGGCGTGCCCGTACAGTCGCCGGAACGCCAAGCCGTAGCGCGCGGGGGGCATCACCCCCGTCCCGCCGGAAGAAGAAGAGCGATGACTTCGTTGGCCGCGTGCCCCTCTCGCCCGGTATCCTTGCTGTTCTCGAGGGAATACCTCCGGGAGGAAGCGGCGTAGAGTCCTGCGCGAGGGAGGGGGGGAATCGCCGGCGACAGCAAGCAGTTTAAGCCGCACATCAAAGCGAAGCGCCGAATGAGGGGAAAACAGGCGTATTTCTGACACCACCTCCTGGTACGTGCTCAGTACTGTTCCAGCGAGTGCTGCGAAATCAATCTGCACATACACAGGCTCGACACTCCGCTTAAAAAAAAAACAAAAAAACAGAGCAAAGCTCCAAACGAGTCTTCAAGCCGAAATTGCAATGACTTCTCGTGCGGCTTCTGTACGCCGCCATACCGACATTCCCCCGGGGTCCCCCATCCCCCCCATTGGGGGTAACATTCACGTCCTTATATCATGTTTGTCTCACTTGATCGCCTTGTGCGCGAGCTTCACGACTCGGTCCTTGATCCGCTTCCGGTCCTTCTCCGGCAGGAGCCCCGGCCCCGCTCTGACCATTGCTGTCTCGTAGAGGGTGCCGCAGTGGGCGACCACCGACTGCAGGTCCAGCACTCGCTCGAGGACCTGTAACGGACGCGGCGGTCGCGTGGCACGGCACAGGCGCGTGCACGGTGGCAGGACGGGAGGGAATTAGACGTTCGACGAAGTCGCGCCTGCTTGCTAAACGGCGGAATGTCCACCCGCGGCTTGAAGACCGTCAGGTAGATGTAGTATCAGTACCAAACTGGACAGGCAGCCAACCAGGCAGGCGCCCATGTCTTGTTAGTTGCCTGGTGCCTTCGAAGGGCACGGGGGGGGGGCGGGGGGGG